GGTCACAGATAGCGCGATCGTAGGCCATTCCCAGTGGGATAAGCCCGTTTATCATGCCCGCCTGTGTACTCGGAAACCGGAAACGTGTCGAACCTCCTTGCCAGACTTTATAGTAAGTCCAAGTTATAAAGTGAGATAAAAGAGGTCAACTAAACTTTTCAAGGCTGAACCGATCTATTTCGTGTAATCTCGGAGTCCTCAAGCGATGAACACGCCTGGGACTTTGAAGACAATGGATACAATGAGTACGATGATACACACAGCCATCGCCCAATATGAACTTAGTGAAATACTGGGAGGAGATTGATGATAAGGGGCGGCGCTACTTTCCTTACTGTCCGCCATCACAACTCTTGCACCAGTTACTCGACATTTTGGTGAATTAGTGATCAGGTACTAGGATTGTAATAGCTGTTGCATTCTGCGGTAGGTTTAATTTTCCTCGTCCGAGGGACGGTCGCCTCAGCCTGGTCGGCCTTATCGCGGCAACGCGATCAGTGCATATTATAGTTAGTGATAAGAGGAGCTTCGTTGTCTCTACTGAAGTTCAAAAAGAAGAGAAGAGACTTATAAGGAAACCAGTTTTGTAATTCATCGTAGGAGACATCGCTGAAGAAAATCTGGATAAGAAGAGCTCTAAGCGGTATTGTGGATTACTACCACAATTTTTAGCCTCTCCGTCACCGAAGTCTATGTGAAATTCAGATCTAAGGTTTATTTCGGAGCTTAAGGATCGTGCACTATCCACAGGTTCCTGCATACTATACGTGGTGCTCGGAGAGACCATGCCTTTTCCACCGTAACTATTGAATATTGGCTTGTACGTAAGTCGCTGTGGTCCGGAACACGGACAGTATAAAATCAGCAGTGCAATGAACTTCAACAACAACAATAAGAACGAAGTAAAATCTTGTCGGAAGCTGAGGCAGATCGCGTCACTGTGCCGTGACCTGAAGGAGTAACCTCCACCAACTATGCCTGAACGTTTTCGTCGACAGAAAGTGCGCTTCCACGAGCAGGACGAAGAGGTCCTCCGTCGCCCGATTGACGACGAATATTCTGTCATGGCACATTTTTCGGACCATATCGACATGTACCGACGTTGCATCGTACCTTTTCAAAATGACAGAAATCCTATGTTGTGTCGAGAAGGCTACCTCCCTCAGCAAAGACGTCTGCCGTTATGTCGGGCTGAGGAACGGGAGAGTGATCTCCGCCATTAAGTTCACGGTCGCCACTTGAGATCGCAATTCCTCCGAGGTTTGCGATCATACGACGACTCCTTACTGCTCGTCCACGGGACTTAAAGTCGCAGGGAGTAAACGATGGAGAGATGCCAAAGAGTCCGCCTGAATCCAGGCACGCACCTCACCAACGATCAGTGGAATACGTCACGATCTACCTCAATCTTCCCGCTTTAAAGATCCCTCTACATATCCGCCGTGCAGACCTGCAAAATATGTATACAACCTAGAGTCTTCCAGTATGGGGCGCGGATAATGCCATGCCTGGCAAGGCCCTAAAATGCAAGAGCAGGAAGTACGGGCCTAGGGAAGAAACGAAAAGCGTGAAAGGCTTGGACGTCTCTATGAGTATAACAAAGCACTCTACTCAGTTGCGTTCGATGGCACTGTGGTGCCTATTATCGAATCAAGTGCCACACTAGTCGCTTGAGTAGCCGCTTGAGCAACCTGCATCATCATCTCGCTGCCATTCTCACTTTCCTGCAGCGCCTTTTGTAAGTCAGTCAGTTTGGATTCAATCCGAGAAATGCTGTGACAGCATTGATCAACTTTCTTTCGCAGCTCCTCAATTGACGGGTTTGCCTGGGGCGGAAGAGAAAAGTCAGTGGCTAAACACGGCCTGTACCATTCTGCCCTCACCTCTGCTCAAATTCTTCGAGACGTTCATCCGCTGTGCTTCTCGCTCGTTGTGCCACGTTGAGAAATTGTTTCACCAAGTGATGTCCTGACTTCGAGCCACTGGGCGGTAGAGCCGCAGAGGCGTTGTGTTGCTGCGCAGCCGCTCTTCGGGGTTCCTTCGATGTTCTACGACCTGGCTCCCAGGCACCGTTCGGCCACCCATGATTCAGAATGTTCTGAGACCTTCCCTGAGAGAGGTCTGCATGCTCTGGAAAGACCGTGGGAGTGACAGGTGGACTGACCGCTGGCTGCTCCAATCCAAAAAGGTTGGGGTCAAAAAAACTATCCTCCATACCTTCAGGTGCCTCTCGCGTGAAGCTAGACATCTGATGTGGCCTTAAATTTGACATGACATGACTTGTTGAAGTATCAACACTGTGCAAACACGGGATTAAGTGGTGGGTAGAGCGGCTCCCCTTTGCCGCTCGATGCGAACGGCAGGCGGCTAAGTGCTCCGATCACCTTCAAACAGCCCTGGTTTAACTGCAAAGTTAGCGACAAACTGTTATCCTATTACTGGACCGTTGAGTAGCGGGATTGCATTGCCGCCTGGAAGGTCTGGAGCCGGGGCAAAATGGGACCTCTGAATTCAGTGGTGAGATCCGCAACCACTATATCTCTGGGATAACATGAAACATCCATGGTCACACAATTTGCCACAATACTCCCACAGCAAGGCGTGGTGAAGCTAGAAATGAACCTTCAACCAAGATTTTCCACGCCACTGGGCCTCTAACCTTTGCTTGCGGCGCGAGATTTCCAGATTCTTTGGGCCTCCAAAATCTTCGGTTTACTATGAGGAACAATTGAGGAGAAATGGCCCGGTTTAGCAAAAGACGCTCCAATGTCAGATTGAAGTCCCGCAGTAGAGAATCACGGTGTAAAAAATTCCACCCTGCGCCGGCTTCGGGATCTCACTACTACCATCAACGGTTTGACGAGTAGAGGTGAGTAGGGTGCACTAGCTAATCCAGATATCGATGGTAATATTACCACTGCCGCAGTGTTTGCACCGTCCCGAGAAAAACACGGAGATCCTAACTAAGAAAGTCAGCCTTGACATTGCCAGAATACGATATTACCTGAAAGATCTCTTCGTGATGAGAACCGCATCACTACTGAATCTATTATGACACTCGCATCGAACATGGCGCTGATTTTGGCACCCCCCAGTGACTGTTTGACACTTGCGAAGTTCCTGGAATGGTTTTGACCATACGGGAGCTGCCACCGGACCTGACTCCCGAGACCTTAGTCAGTCATATTCAAGGGGCACTGGAAGCTACAAGAACTCATCTGAAACATCTGAATACCGCCTTCAACACTGATGGGCAGCATTTGCCCCATGGGTCCTACAGGATTTCTAGATTGGGGCGATATGCAGCCGCCTCCATGGCTTGGTTGCAACTTGCTTCGGGGGTCTCTCTTCTCTCTGTAATCCTCTGCTGGTTCAGCTTATAGGAGGGCCCTCCAGGACGAAATTCGCCATTTCGGAGGGAGAAATGCTTCTAACGAGTGTTGAGCCTGGCACAGGTAGGACACGTGGCTTGAGCAGATGGTAAGCAGCCTTATTTGCAGCAGTGTCGAGGTAGAGTTCGCAATTCGAGCTAGCCAATCTGCGCAGCTAAGAAGTCTTCCGCTCTTTCCATGTTTCCATGTGGCCTACAAGCACGTTGGGATCGTCACTGAAATTATTGTTGGACCATGTCGTTTGTTGTACCCACAAGAATAAGATGGCCTCTTTCAAGGCCCTGAATGATTGGGCATTTGTCCGCAGCAAGGGCCATACAAATTGACGTGTCAATACGCGGAACAGACAAAATCTGTCTCACCACGAATAGGTGGAGGACTCATTAATGTCTTGTGGTAATCGTCGCCACAAATCCGCAACCCAAATGATGTTGTATACATATGCTGATAGATGAGCCGAACTGGTCCAAGGGCCAGGGACACCAAAATCTAGGAGATGCGAAGATCCGAAACCGTCGACCACTCCTTTGCGAGGTTCACCAGAAACCCATGACCGTTGCCAGATTCGAAACATTACTAAGCGGCATATGTGAACCATTGTTTTACGAGATATTTCGACGTTGACCGATGATTCTGATCTAGGAAAAGCTGAAACGGACGGTCACCATGTTAGAACGTTAACTGGCGAGCAGAAGCCGATAATCCTTGTCATTGGACGACGGGAAACACTTGAAACTCTACTATTCCTCACGGCATCCGTACCACCAATCTCCTGTTCCACACCGGCCGCTCATTAGACCGATCAGTTCTTGAGGCGTCCAGCCCCGTTTGAACCATCTGCTCTTGGAAAGGCCGGCCAGTTCCCATGTTCGCTTTGTATGTTCATCATCTGTCGCGGACCGTTACGTCTGAAAGGTAGATATACCGCTTACCTGTGGAACACTGTTGGACGAAATAGAGGCTGTGAAAGCACGATTTCTGCGGCAGTTGAACAAGACTCTCGGTGGAAGCCTGTTCGACCTGCTGGAGAATTCGAACCGCGCACAAGGATTACCGCTGTTGAAACTTGATGACCATGATATCATGACGCGGCCGGACTGCGATCAGTCGTGGATTGATGACTTTCACTTAATAGAAAAGTAGCAAGGGACCCAGGTAGTCTATAACCCAGAGCTGATATATTGCAACACATAAATTCAAAGCCTCGCTGCCTCTTCCTCTGTGAGCAGGAACACCCAGTCATGGCCGCCAACTAACTATAGGCATTGCTGCCAGTTGATCAAAGACCAGTGCTTCGACCAACTCATGACATGACGATATAGAATTTCACCCCAAAAAGGGTCATTCCAGGTTGTGTCAGCTGGACTCCATGTCAAGCTTGCTTGTAGAGGGTTTAGGGAGCGTTCCTGCCACAAAGCTGCAAATGCATCATGTCATGAATTTCTTGCTTGTCCCGGCTCTTGGTTGTTCAAGCTTTAGCACCGAGGAGAACATCAGTAGGGCACTCGGGTGTTACAGCTAGAGTTAGTCTCCACAGCAGGAGAGATGGAGTTGACTTGACTTTGCTGAAGAACAGCACCTTTTTCATCTTGCTGTAGACCCGTTGGCTCAATCACAACTATCGTAGAGCTCTTGTAGCGTTTTGCTCAGATCATGCAGGCTATCTTCTCTTGCCAGCCTGATGAGATTCTCGTATACATCGTTTTCTTGCTCGTCCGTCATCTCCTCCTTGTCTCCATAGTAATCGTGCAGCTTCTGCCTTCTTCTTCGAGCTTGTCTCGATGAGAAGCCTATCCAAGCCAGATTAGAGGACCTAGTCATATGGTTGCATTGTTGGATGCTGTAACACTCGGAGATCATCACTTATGTTGTTGAACACCGAACAAATGGAACAAGAACACGACATTGGTATCGAACCAGCTTTGTGCGGAAGGTATTTGTGAAAATGTGTGCAAGGCAGTCAAGCTGCAAGACAGGGACTAGAACAGGGAAGGGGAAATGGCCTGCCTGGTCGAACAAGCTACCAATATTTTCATTTCCTTCACGATGTATTGGCTTGTCGTAGCTTGAAGGGATCATTGAACAAGCAGCTATGCCTTGAAAGCATTAACCTGTTCCTTTTATCCTTTTGGTGATTTTCTTCATGGATTGAATTCTTGTAAGCCCCGCTGATCCCATTGGCGGGATTGGGATAATTTTACGCTGACCGGAAGACACCATGACAGGACAAGACTGGCGTGACGTCCATAATCATGCATCATATCAGTGCTGGCTCCGATGAGTTGGCTAACCGGTGAAGAGATCGGATGAATGAATGGAAGGGTAGAAAGAAGGCTATCGAGCGGATAGTCATGGTGCAGGACGACGGACTTTGTGGGACTGTGGTAAGTGGTGGAGCCAAGGAGGCATTGTCCCAGCGGCATATGGGCATTTTGGTGGCAATACGATAGAAAATAACACCTATATAGAAGCCAGACACTCGCCAGATGTCCTAGACAGGATGCAGAGCCAATTGAACACATTTTCCGCTTTTGACAATAAAGGCGGTTATATGTGGCCGTCGGGCCTGCAGCATTGGCAGTTCCAAGGTGGGGTAGTCCACCACCCGCGTAAGATATCCTAGAATGTCCGTGGGACACAATTAGATGATAATGTTAGGGGTGGTCAGGCAGGGCTAGTGCACGTAGTTGCCGTGGCTAACGTTCATCAAACCACTCGCACACACAGTGATGGAAGCGACAGAATACTCCGTCCGGAAGATGCCAACCAGGCTTATATTGTTGTGTGTTGTTTTTCGCTTGTCATTATGGATGCAGCGACACTTGCGAAAGACATAGTCTGCGCAAAGACGATTAATGGCACCTGAAACACTTAACGGCTACCTCGCTATGAAGCGCTGAACACTTTAGAGACGGAGTGGACTTTTGACCAGGCTTGCCTTTTTTCATGTTTCTACTCCCAACAATGAAAGTGACAACCATACGTTGTTGAGAGGAGAAGCTGAAGACTAGAATTGCTTGGCAATCACTCTGGCCATTATCGGTAGAAGTGCACCACCACCTCAACGGCTTTGGTGTACCTCATTGTTCGCTATTGGAGTGGAGTACACGACGTTCGCTGTACACAATTCCCGTGTTCTGCAGTTGCGCTGAGTTTTGATGCCTTCCTTCTATGGGCAGATGGGCATCTAGCGAGAGCACCGACACATGAGACACATTAAAACACGATGTTGAATCAAGGAATTTGGCACCGTTTGGTAGCTAGGCGTAATCAATACGACTACCAGCACGCATTAGACAGTAATGGCAAACCCCACAACAACGTCTGACAATAGTTCTTTCATCACTACCACTACACACCCCACCCATACACCAGCCCTGTTCTTGAAAACAAACAATCGCCTAGAGCCGCGGCTTGTTGTTGGTGATGACGATACACTCCCCAAGTCCCCACCCCAACACTTTTGCGGGCATTCTCCGTCCGTACAATCGCCGGAGTCCATTAGAGATTGATATTGACGTTTCCCAAGCATACTTGGACGCTCTACCTCACAAACATGTGTCAGTTTCAAATATCGAATAATTTGAGAGAAGGGAGACCAACATTGGCGGCATTGCAGCACACGATGGTTGTGCCACACTGAGAGCTGCCGGCCCCTGGGATGGAATATCAGCACACAATTCCTTGGAGCTGAGCGAGGAGTCGCGGTTCAGTGATGATCACCTACCCATGGCAGTACAGGTGGTCTTCCCCTCTTTGTCCGTGGAGCAGCAGTATGGGGTATTGTTGTTGCCGCATATGTTGCTTTGGTTAACAACGGTCGCAGTTGGCTTTGCCGGCTCTGTGGGTTTCGGGGGCTTTGGAGGGTTGGGCACAGCCAAGCCCATGGATGCAAGGATGGCGATGACGCCGAAATACTTCATACAATGCATCTTGTTGGGGTGATTCTCGGGAGGATGACTTGAGCAACAATTGACTTTTGGTTTGGGCTGGATCTTCTTGAATCTGGAAAGCTGGGTTGAGGAAGAGACAAGGTGAGATGGGAGGGAACAGCCATGCCTTTATGCTTTTCGAAGCAACAGCCTGGACGATGAGCTCGAGTCAGTCCATGGCTGCATACGGATGGGATCTTCTCTGCTCCTCAGTTTCACTCCGGTCTGGACCCGGTAGAGGTATGTTCAGCTGGATGCAAGTGTGTCTCAAAACACCAACACGATCAGCTCATGCAGGGTCTCTAAAACATCACAAATGAAAAGGCAATCCACCTTTCGCTGAAGGCGCTGAGGTGCGGAGCATGCTCTCAGGCCGACAGATATCACCCTGGTGATCCTCGAACGCCTTCCAGATCAGGCTGGAGAAATGAAGATGCATCGTGTTGAACCCGTACACTCACGGCAACTGCAGCTCAAGCAGTAAAGATGCATGGGTCGGTCCCGTGTCTGCCGCTGTTGGTCCTCCGTAGGTTGATTCCGAGGGTCACTGAAGCGAGAATATGAGATCATGGCTTTCTAACAGACATACTTCTATGATACAGGACATAAGTTGTGTACCCTGAGAGCTTAAGCAAAGTGTTGTTGAACAATGTTAGAAGATCACTCACCAAGGTGTCGCCTTGCGCACCTCGTGTTACCATACCAAAAACTGTGAATCGTGCAGAGAATTTCATTCAGCGGAGGGACACGACTTATTCCACGGGGCACAGGAAGTGGGAATCTCTGGTGATCTCTTTTAGAAAGAGACTTTCGAGAAATAATTGACAGCTCGCGATGAGCAAGGATATCCACTCCAGCTGAGGGGTTTCTGATGGCCATCCCCATACGGGTGCTTGATGATCAAGGCCAGGTTTATCCTCATATATGCTCTTTTCTTGTTCCGGAAATGTGGATTTCTTGAATGGAACGCTTTCGTCAGTACATCGTTCTTGTCCCTGCCCCCTGGGTGCTAATCTCAGTCTTGCCCCACCCACAACAGCAGTGCTAATCGCTCCTACGGATTGAGCAGGGCTGGCAGAACTTGGACACATTCGCTTGTCTACACGATGATAGCGTTGCCAAGGCACAATTGGACAGACTTGAGTAAAGTTAGTATCTCTTCCTCGTACAAAAAGGACAGCCTACGTACGTATTGGGCATTGCAGCAGACGGTCGTAACGGAGCAAGCGTCTGAAGTGTCTCAACGGTATGTTGCTCAACGCAGGTGCAGGCGGGCTAAGGCGCTGACGGCAGGTCTTCATTGTCAATTGCCTCGAATTGTAAACCTTTACCTGCCTCATGCCGTGTATTCAGCTGCCAGCTGATGATCAGCTCCTGCGAAGATGCCGGGCCATAGCAATTTGGTAGTCAGAAAGCCCTTCTCCGCGAAGGTTTTGATGATCAGAGCCCAAAAGAATACCCAACATGAGGGACCAAGGAGACACCACTTGAGACGCAGTACATGACGGAAGTGAGGAGGTTGCTGTGCAAGTGCACCCGACACTCTGACTCTTTGGCTATATTCCTGTAGATGGGATATTCGTCCGACAAGGTAGATGGTGGTGGAGCCTTTACCGTATTATTGGTGCCCAGGAAATCACGATCGAGGGACACAGATTGACTTGGCGCTGTGACCACTTACCAACACTGCATACAAGGGGTTTCCCAGCTGAACGGGATGCTGTCCAGACTGGAACAGGACCTATCGCTCTGAAAGCGTCGTGGTGCCCACCAATGACGCTATTGGTAGTGGAAAGGTGGTTGACGGCAGTCCAAGGAGCACTGTGCATATTTAGGCGCTAAAAGGCCTCGTTCATGCAGCTCTCATCAAGGATACCTGGTAGACGGGATAAAACGAGAAACAGTACCACACTACGATCACGAAGCTGATTTCGTACCGTGGAATGAATGCAGCTGAAGAGGCTTTTCTTAACGTAAGAGATGAGGCAATGTGAGGAAGTTGTCGATGCGATATGGAGGCACAAGCGACAGACGGCTCAAGCGGCCGGCAATACCTCCTCTGAACCACAGCCTTAGTACAGGGGGCTCGTCCACACGAATCACTGCCACCCCAGATATGGAAAAGACTAAGTGCGATCCTGTATGATTGACAGTTTGTTGATCAACTCGACGTGTGGTATAAGACAAGTGGGCTGTTTGTCCTTGACGTCACAATGATGAACCGGTTCTAATCTCGTCCAGCGCCATTAGCCAGAACTGGATATCACTCCACGGATGATTCTGGTTGGTTCGGCCTGTGACAGTTGCGCAAAGTTCACATCGTATTAGCTAGAAAGTAGCCAATAGTAAATGGGAGAGATGTTTGATCGATGCGGCTGAATATCCGCGTTACCGGCTGGAGGTTTCATCTCTCGATATGGAAATGAACGGCAACGGGGATGTCACTGAACGAGCTGGGGAGGGACGACCTGTCAGACTGCGATTTCCAAAATTCCTGATATTTTCTAGAACCGGTTTGACATCTGTACTAGAATGACCCGCACCGAAAGAGCACGCGGAATGCGGGGAAGGGGTGAAGCCCTGGCGGCTATTCGATTGGGCCCAAACAGATCCACCAACAGCATTCACCGAGGATGGTACTTTTTTGAACCGTTGCGGGCACCGGTCCGGCGGGATGTGATCGCTGTCATAACGTAACATCTGGCCAACAGACACGGTATGCTCACCCACTCGCCGCACATGTCAGGACTTTTGGCTCTGCACTGCGCAAGACAAGCGACTACATGCATTGCCGAGTCTTGCTATAAATTTAAACATATGCTATCGAGTATCGAGAAGTCTAAGATCGACGCTTGTGAACCACAGTTTGATTTTCTTCCATAGGATCTACCTAAGTTTACTGTGTCAATGAGCGGCGCCAAGAAATCGTGATTGGCCCGGGGAAGCAGACAGGGCCAAAAGTCAACCATACTAACACTGGAACGACTCCACCCAACACTGGCAACTTAGTTTCGTTTTGGAGAATAAGGCGTGGAGAAATCGGACAATAATTGGGAGCATTTAAGCGAGGATGGGTCGAAAATTCCAGTCAAAAATGGATTGGCACCAGAGGAGGGTGAGTCGCCAACGAATGGGTCTGCTTTAAAGCTGCATCTTGTAGGTGTGCGCCCCTCTAAGCTCGGAGGAGTAAGGCCACTGAGGTGACCCAGCCGCTGTGGCCCACGAGCATCTGAAGACACTTCCCTGTTCTGGCGTCCCAGAGCCGTATAGTGCTATCGAAGGAGCCCAGATGCTGGCCATTGGGAGAGAACGCCACTAAGGTGACCAGGCTGCTATGGCCCTGGAGTATGTGAAGACTGACACTTGTCCGTCTCAGCGTCCCACAGCCGCACCAACCTGTCGTGGGAGCCCGAGGCCAGCTGCTGCCCGTCGGGAGAAAACGCCACTGAGTTGACCCAGCTGCTATGGCCCTCTAGTGTCTGTAGGCACTTGCCCGTCCTAGCGTCCCAGAGCCGCACCGGCAGAATCATGGGCGGTGTCCGGAGGAAAAGGTTCCGCCTTGTTGCTCTGCCGGGCTTAGCCATCTTAAACAGCCAGTGAGGGTACTCGAAGTGACTGAATGAGGGATCTGATCGACATATTATTGCTTCGATTGACCAATCAATAGAACTGTGAATGCTCCGACCAGAACCGTACCACATCGGTGATATTACATTGTCCGCAATAGTCCATGACGCGTTTGAGCTCCATTCGGAGAGGAGTTCGACGTCACGCATGTTCAGACCTGCTGATGTGACCGTGATGGGTGGTGTTGCTGTTGAATCTGAAAGACTAGAAGAAGAGTTATCCGGCGGGCTCGCTGGTTACACAGGAATCGAACCAGTAATCGACGACATGATCTTGATCACGATTTTGTACAAGATCAATCTCAATCCGGTGGCGTGCAAAATATCGATGGTCCACCTTGACATCGTCAAGACTTTTTGTGCTCGCGGAACGGCGATCTTGTCGTACATTGCAATTGCATTCTCTAAATACTCGGCCTTGCGCAGAGAAGGAGCCAGATCCCATCCGTCCATTATAGCCAGATTCGCACCATTTCCGGCAAAAGGGCTGACAGCATGGTTTGCGTCTCCAATCCAGATGATTGGTCCGTTTGTCAAACGTATATGGGCGAACGGAGGTCGATCTCTTGCACTGAATAGCATGACGGTTGTCGGGTCAGTTGCAATGACTAGCTCTTTGACCACAGAGCAAAATTGCCCGCAAGCTTTGTGGACTCATCATTGAGCTCACTGTCGCTGCGGTATGGGATATTTCAATGTAGAACGCGGCTGTCGACTGGCACGACTCATGGCCCAAAGGACTGATTTGTCGTCCACCGGCGAGACGAACAGACCTACACCTTTCCCACCCAGAAGAGCACCCCAATCTCGATCAAGCGGCCGGGGAATGTCTTCTTTCCTGGAATATTTGGCTGTTCCTCCCCAGGTGACTATGCCAGTATAATTGAGGTTGCTTTGCTGTCGGAGCAGGGATCTGATTGTACTCCAAGAGCCGTCTGCTGCAATGAATAAATCACATATCTCTGTACGCCCGTCGTGCAACGTTATCCGCATTCTCCCATCTTCAGTCTGCTCCGCAGCAGTGATGGGAGTCTCCCAATGAATCTCTGCACCAGCCGCAATGGCCGCATCAGCAAGAACCTTCTGCAAAGCATTGCGTCGCACTCTCATTCCAGAAAGCCGGTGTCCAGGGGGCTGAAGCGGGAAGCTGAATATTGGTTGCAGGTTCTGGTCCCATAGTTGAAGCCACCTCTGGTTTCGGCAGTTGCTTCAGGATTGACACTGACACTTCTGACACGATGGATCAGTCCCAGAAGGTCAAGGACCTGAATACCACCAGGGCTGTTATCTGCTCGAATTGAAAGAGTGTAGCCCTCCCGACCAGTTCGAGCTTCGTAGCTGTCACGCTCAAATATGATGACCTTTGGTTTCGGAATGTCAGAGAAGTGATGGGCGAGGGCAATAGAAAGGGTTAGCCCAGCGATACCAGCACCAGACACAACGATGGATTTGGAGGAAAGGAAATGAGCACCTCCCGAAGAAGACATTACGCTGACAAGAGAGGATCGCTTAGCTGTTGAACTGGAAGTGAAGAACGGCCACAATGACTCCGCGGTCGCGCGATATAAGTGCAAGCATCGTGGCCAACCTGCTCGGGATATATAGGCGGTGTCTCAGGCAACAGTTGTATACTCGCATCAGACTGGTGACGTTTGGGTTCGCGTCCGATCCGAATACGAGACAAAGCTCAAAAGTGTAGTAGCGCTTGGCACACGTGACTGCCAAGACCCCTTTACATAGCTGTTGCCTGCGCACGCAAGGTACGTAGTCAGGAACCCCTTTGGTCCCCACCAAGCATTTATTAAAGGCAGCTTGGTCGAGGGAACATGAGATGTGTCGAGCCCATCACGTGAAGGGGAAGAGCTTAGTCAGCCAGGACAAAGAATCGAGGCGTATTTCGATGCATCCAGCAGTCATGAGTTCGAACATGATATCTATCGCTGTGCTTTTGCAAATGGTATAGAATCTCCCAGCCGGAAATGCAGTACCAGCTATAATGAAGACAGAATCTAATAGGCACACACCCCCAGCCAGCGTCTTCCATGTCCCAAGCGGGCATCGACGACTTAACAGATCCGGCTGAACCTATTTTGGATTTGGGGAATTTCGACGATTTAGTAAGTTCGCACGACGATAGCGACAGAATGGCGCCTGATCCTCAGGACAAGGGATTTTGAAAACCGCGTCGAGGTGGGGGAATGCGGAATTGCGAACCATGATCCAGAACCTACAACGGCAGCTTAACAACAGCGGCGAGACTCGGAACAGCAGCGTCAGGACGCAAGGGACAGGGAATTTACGTGGATCGTCCAATTGAAACAGCATGGGACTCAGAGCAGCAACGGAAAGAGCTTGTTCAAATGCCAGAAGAGCAAAGTGAACACATGAAAGAACTCCTGCGGAAATGGTGATGAAAATCAATGCCTATTCCAACTCGCACCTGCTTGTTGTCAGGCTAGAAAGCTGTAACAACAACTGGGTTATGACTACTGTCTGCTTGAATTAGGACGTTTTAGTGTCTGGTTGCTCTTGAATGTTCTGCATTCCGTCTTTCTTTCTCCAACCCAGCTGTCACCAACTGCAGCTACAGCCACGAGAGCGCGAATATGTCTGTCACCGAAGACTCTAACTTAAAGTTATGCCTTGTCCTTCTTTGCTCCTGTGTGGCCTCTTTCCCTCGGGTCAGAATTTTCCAATCCCGGCGTTCTCGAACCCAGGCAAGAGGCAGGAAATTTTCAGGGTGAAGGTTAGACAACCTCCACTCCAGGCACCAGCGAGGGCAGAAAGGCGATCCCGAAGGTATTCTGGCAAGAGTAACCGCGCAAGAGGGGACGGATAGGGCTATTCCGAACACATAAAACACCAGAAACTGGGAACCCAGGGACCAACTTATGGGACCCTCCCATGCCACTTAGGACTTTGCTCATGCTACTCAGACAACACTCAGGGCTTACCAAGCCGTGCTCAGGAGCGCACAGCCAAAGCTCAGAATGCTTAGTTCTGACTCAGGTTAAGTGACGAGTTGCTCAGATCTGGAATCGGAAATGGACTTTGGAGAGGTCAAGATTCGCCGCTGAGTATTTCGGTATTTGTACAGCACAAGAGCATTGACCGCGGCTGAGGCCAAAGAGCGAAACGGAACACATAGATGAACAGGTCAAGTTTGCAACGATGGAAGAGATGACGAGGACTTTCAACGGGCCCTCAACCTGACGTTATCAGGCGCGTGCCTAAATAGCTTGCGAAGTAGAGCAACAACTATTTGTCTTTACCACCTCCTTCCTACACTTTTTGCGTTGTCATAACCCAGTGGTCAATATCATGAGAGAGACTGTAAGATGGGATACTACTAATAAATTTGTGGAGAGCGAGTAAACGACTAGCTACAATTCACTGTTCACACCCTTCTCACTGCACCACGTTGCCTGACAATACTTCGATCAATGCTTCGATCAATGCTTCCCAAAGAAGCTGCATCCACAATGTTGCTGATGTCCACATGGCTTCCCCGGATGGGTCTGGGGGTACACCGGCGGCGGTCCCTGCCATGAACCTGGATGAATATGAGTCGTGGTAGCAACATTCGTGTGCGTGTCATAAATCGGTGGACTGTACACCGGTCCAGCTGGTGGGCAAGCAGGTTGCTGCGGCACACATGTCGGAGTAGTTGGCCTTCCACAGAGCGGCTTCTTTCTCTTGGCCCAGTCTTCGGTCAACGACCCCATGATAGCTCCACCGACCGTGCCAATGAAACCATGGGAGGTCTGCTTGCCGATCAAGTGTCCGCCAATACCTCCGCCAAGGCTCCGAGCAGGCCTTTCTCACCTGCGGCACCAGGGGTCCGTCATATTGGGGCTGGCTTCCGTTGTACTGTTGATCACTTTGGGAATGTCAGCACTATTCGTCACATGCAATGACATCCCATACCCTTGGTTGTTGTAGGCTTGGCCATTAGCCTGAGGGTGCTGGTCGTAGTAGCCATATGAGGAGCCCTGCTCATACGACGACGGCGTGTATGGCGACGGAGTCCCTTGAGTTGGGTCAGGGCCGTATTGGGGCTGGTATGGAGAAGGAGCACGTTGGACGGGGTCATGCGTGTAGCCGTTATATGGGGATGCCATTTCTCTGTCTTGTCGAGTGTTTAAATTCACAGCCGATGATACTGGTCGAGAAGAGCTTACAGATAAAAAAAAACTGATAAACAATCGGCATGAGGGGGTTGTGACTTTCGTGGAGGAGTTCGCCTCTCATATACGCACAAACCTTTTTGAGTCCCTCGATATCAGACTCTCAAACGAGTCCAAGCTCTTTCGACACTTTCGACCGACAACATCTGGCAAACCTGACCAAAGACTCTTGTTCGGGACTTCTTCGAATTGGGCATTGTTGCTTTACAATAGGCGATCGAATACGATATTATGTGTCGACAAGTTTGTGCACAATCGCAATTTGGCCAGAAAGAGCCAAGCAAGTTATGGTTTTTATTCCTCACAGACCTCCGTTCCAGCTTCCGCAAAGCTGAACCATTGCCAAGAGTCCAGACTTCGTCAAACCCCTTGGCAATGGGTTTATATCCGGAATCTTCGGCCCTACCCCGTATTCCACCGCGGGGAAGCGAGTCTAGTAGGAATTCCAACTCAGGTGGCTGCTGACTTAGGTCGACGTCTCTCATCGTTGCTGCCCACGGCTCTTTGTGAACTCGGACTGGTATGGTTTGTCCAATGTGCTCAGTACGTCTTCGCCTCGTATATCGACGCCGTGGCAGTTCGACAAGAAGCTGAAAGGGCCAGAGCTATGGGGCTACTTGCTTCCCGAAGCTCCTGCTCTGATACCCAGACTGTCGACAATCCGTCATGTTCCAATATGTCGTTCGACTTCTCAACATTTGCCTGTTAAGACATCCATTAACACCCTAACATCTCTCACCACTGTCATCACAGCAGCAGCATGACATCCAAGATCTTCCAGCAGCTGTTTGATGCTGGACAGGCGGCTCTCATATCAAACACAGGTAAACCACAAGCTCGATTCAACTATGCGCAGCTCTCCGACTACAATATCCCGCTCAGTCAGCAACATCATCAGCAGCAACAGTGGTCGCAGAATTGTCAAAACCCTGATCCACAATGCAAGCCTCATCACGGGATGCTTGTGCAAAAGATCAGTGAGGGCCGACGCTGGACCAAGATTGCAGCTGGAATCTCCGGTACCATTTCGGCCTGTCTCTCGGCCATTATGGGAGCAATCATGATCTTCACGGTGTGGAAATACCAGAAGACCAAAAATTTGTATGTCAAGGATCGGACTTGGGGTCCATGGGCGAAAGATACCGTCACATGGCCGACTTACATGATGGCGGCTGCTTCAATTGCTACGTCACTGGCATCGTTGGTATCATTGGTCGCTTTGTGCCGTCGGTCGAAGCGCAAGGCCGCCTTTTTCAGTGTCATCTATGTCATCATGCATATCGGGTCTTGGGTTGCTGTTTCTGTGGTGTACAGAGTCATGAAGACCGACAAGGATCTCTGGGGTTGGAGCTGTACCGATGCTGCTAAAGCGATTCAGAAGGAGCTCGGAAGTAACGTGCTGAACTTTGAAAATTTGTGCAAGCTTCAGGTAAGTCATTTTCTCTGCTCTAGAAATTGACCCCTCGGATTAAACAGGTCGAAGTATCATGAGCTAACAGATCCTCTTTCTATCCAGGGCTCTTCCTGGGAAGTATCTATCGGCGAGGTGGTCATCAAGATGATGACAAGCGCTGCGTCGTGGTTCGTCAGTCGCAGGCAAGCAGGCTTGGAAAGCGTGCTTTCGCTCGACCTCGGGGCCTGAGTTCTGGATTGCTCCATCACTTGGCACTAGACTGAGTGTCTGAGGGCATGCGGGGAAGACCTGAGCTAAAGTTTTCGGAAGAGTGAGCAAGGCAAAAACAAAAGCCAAAACCCTCAGCTGAAAGAAGGCCAAGCTATTAGGCGAAATGCCGAGCCTTGGATACGATACACGGTGTCAAAGCCACAGATGATGAACAACGGCGGTGAAGGGAAGTTCCTGGTCTCGCTTGGGCAATCCTCGAGCTCGTTTAAACAGTTGTACTTCTGACTCATAACCCATCGCTGACACATCTACCCCGCCGTCGTGAAGGAGGCATTTGAACGGCTGTTCGTGGCGGCAGCATATTTTCACCATCATGCCACTTTGCATTCTGACAGTGTACCTCGATGAGATGCGATGGTCTCGGACTTCTCGTGCTGGAAGGCTCGAAGCAGTAGTACCGCTTGTACCGTCGTCGCCTTGCTTACGTGTTGGTTGCCGCAGGTGCGGGCCACCATGGCTTCTGGATTGTATGGCCAGTTGAACATCGTGAGGACGCCATGTTCTCCACCGATCAGACGAGGCTGTTCGATATTCTCTTGGCTATTGACAAAGCGCCGCAGTTTGGTTCATCGTCTTCCACTGTCGGATGCGACTCGCATAGCGGCTCTCGAGAGAGGTAAATGCCAATGATGTTCTCTCCCATCAATTCAGTAACGCTTGCACCCTTCATGAGTTGCTTGCCCATTGTTCAGCAAGACTCCTCACTCGCAACTATCAGGAGCAGTCATGCCTTGTTGAGAATTTCGGTCGCTGAAGTGGTTGTCGACACCGACAGGACACTGAAAGGGCAGATTTCCAGAGAAGATTGGCCGAGACAAGTTCGAATTTGAAGGGAAGCAATTACCCTGCTTAAAGGTCTAGCTAAGGCTACGCCGTAGAATTGCTCGATTGGAAGTGAACGCAGTTGAGAATCCGCTGCGCAGGAGCGCAAGCGCCAAGGGTACGCGATCACGTGAGAATCATTACGTCGAAGTCTGCGAATACGGATACCAGCCACACTTTCGACGCCGCAAATATTTAGTGGCTGTGCAAGACCGGGATTGGGCCGGAACTTTCGAGTACACACTTGGCTAGATGCTCACCCATCTCTCGTTCCTGGTGGCAGTTACAGTACTGTATCCTGTTCTGCGACACCGCTGAAGCCGGCGTAAAATGATGCCTAATCTGTCCGATTCACAGCATGCGCAGATACAGCACATGATCTCAGATGGCTGTTTCACCTATCGCCAAATCGGAGCGGCTGCTAACTGCAGCTTCGATGCAGTCAAAGCCATCAGTCAAAGCCATCAGTCGAAACCTTCGTGATTTTGGTAGTACCAAAGCACCTCCGAACCGTGGTGGACGCTGCCCGTCCGTTACTCCTCTCATGCGAGAAGCTCTTCTAGAATACCTTGTCCAGAAACCTGGTTTAACACTCGAAGAGATGGTCGTATACCTGTGGGACGATTTCGAGTCTCGTGCCACCACATCATCTATCAGCAGGGCTTTGCACACGGCTAGCTGGTCTAAGAAAAAGGCTCGTGGAATCGCTAAAGGTCGAGGTGCAGATCTACGCGATTTTATCTACATAGCATTTCTCACTTCCATTCCTATCAAGTCCTCTATGTCGACGAATCAGGCTGCGACAAGCGGATTGGGTTCAGACGCACTGGGTGGTCTCCCTTGGGTGTTATACCCGTCCAGGTCACCCAATTTCACCGTAGCCAACGATATCAGATTTTGCCTGCATACTCACAAAATGGCATCGTGCTCTCACGTGTATTTCAGGGCACTACCGACAGCGCCATTTTAAAGACTTCATTGAGCAACTCTTGCACCATTGTGACATCAATTCGGGTTAATTTAATATGGAATTCAGCCTGGAAGCTTCGCATTAGATTGTTAGAGCGAAGCTGATCGATATCCAAAACGTATGGGTATGATCAAGAACGAAGTTGACTACGTAATAGAGCTATGGGTGGATCCGCGTATATATAGTAGAGAGTGCTCAGCACTGCTCAGTGGCTCAGGACTGAGCACTACTGAGCCGACTGAGCACTACTCATGTTGCTCCCTTGTGCTCACCGACAGACCGCTGAGCACTCCTGAGTTCTATCGCGTGACCCGCTCTTATACTCGTGCTCCTCGGAGATACACTCTATACTTCCCACCTGCCAAGGAACCCTTGTCTCGTGACACCACCCAGTGGAGCGATTCATAGCAGATGGTACCATTAGCTAGTTGAATAATTCTTACTTCGCTAAGAAGAACGCACTAGATATACTGAGTGGCATTGTCGGGGGTTCTACGATTCTTGATATCTCCTAAAAGATCTTCCGAAACTGGATCCCTCTGGCGAAGGTCTATCTCTGAAGCACTTGGTTCGACTTTTCATATTGTGTGCGTATCCCGTATTGTTGAAGTTCTTCAGATCATAGAATCTTCCCCCACTCGTCTTGATTGACACTTCAAGGCCATGTATGACCCTTCCGTTGCAGGACAATGGTAGGAATCCAGCTCACTCCTACAAGCAGGCCAGTGGCAATTCCAGCCGACCCGTAAAGGCCGACATTTTCGAACATCTGCGGAAACCAAAATGGTCCGATGAAGCCCCATATCTGTCTCACGAAAGTGATGAACACTCCCACGCTTGCAGACTCTTCTTGATAACGGTCGACTGCATACGTGATCAAAACGGTCGTGACGATCTGAAGGCCCCCAGTCGCAATGGCGCTGCCAACAAGCGGAGTGATGTTGTAGTGAGTACCTATCTCTCCAAGCTGAACAAGGAACACGGTTACTCCCACGATGGCAAGAAGGAAACCACCATGTGACAACCACAATCGCCATTCTGGCTCGGGACGAATCCCAATTTTCTTCGTCCTTCTGTTCATCCAGGCATCAGATATAAAGCCACCAACCAGTTCACCAAGAATGGTACCAATCAACATGGCGATATACTGCAGACCCACCTGCTGCGTGTTGAAGTGGAAGCTAGGTCCGAACAGTTGCGGAATCTCTACTGAGATCATGACAGCAACTAATAAAAAGACCATGGCATAAGCGGCCGCAGGAACCATGACGCAAGGCCGACCGGCGAATCTGAGAGGTTGGACAAAATCCCAGAGCCGCAGCGGAGTTGGGTCGATGCGACAGAGCTGGAAATATTCTTGCTTCATAGAGGAGCCTTTACGTGTGATCCCGTGGCGAACGTATCGAGTCTCGGGTCCTAGGAAGACGTACAAGACTAGCTGGACGGCATTGGTCTGAAATTGAAGTCAGCTTCTCGGTGTTCAATATCGTTGCGAGACGTCACCTACAATGGCCAGAATTTTGTAGATCCACCGATACTCGACGCGATAAGCCACAAAGCCAAAGACTAAGGGCGATATTTGAACTCCAATCGTCACCATGAGCGTCCAGACGCCCATATAACGAGCTCGATTCCGCTTAAAGAACGTCTCGGTCACCACGGCACTGCCAATGGCAGCGGCTGGGCTGATGAAAAACGCGACAATTGCTCGGCAAGCAGCCATACTAGCGTATGAATAGCTATATGCGCAGCCGACGTTGCCGGCCAATGAACAAATGAGGGAAATCGTAAATATCGGTCGTCTGCCGTAGCGATCGGACAAAGGCTTCCAGAAGAGCGGCGCTCCGCCTAAAATGGCGATCTGAAGAGAGGTGAGATAAGAAGCACGCTGCAGGCTGCACCCAAGGTCCAGAGCGATATTTTCAAATGCGGATTGAATGGCTGCACCGGTGAACGTTGCCATCATCGCGTGAAATGCTACTAATACAAGATTGGCAACCTTCTTCCAATGCGGCCAGTTGTAAGGGTCGGCATCGCCCATGTCGGGCATGGGGTCGAGATCGAGGGTGCCATGGCGGGCAAGAAGATACTCGCGGTGCTCAGGAGATAGGAGGTTGATCTCATCTCGGTCGAGGTGTGCATGTGGCAGTTGGACTGCATCAACAAATTCCTTCTGTGTTTCGGTATTGACAGAATTACCGGTTTTGGACTCTGTGTTTTCAGACTTGATTCCATCCGCCATTTTGAGGGATTGGAATGATTGCGCACGCTCGTTGTCACAATCGCATGCAATAGGTTTCGGGGGATAAGAAGGGCTTATAAGTATGCGGTGGACCCCTACCTGGCTGCTTTCCGGACTTCCACAGTGTGCCGGGGACGACGTCCGGGTCCGTCAATAGGACACGACCCTATTGGACCCACTAGTGAGAGAGATAAATCCGGGATTTCCACCCCGGTTACTGGAACCAGCCTGGGCAGATTGAAATGGCTAGTAGGCTCGGGTTTTCCCCCTGGGTTCTGGGGGAGCTGGGATTTTGGGTGGTGCGGGCTTACGCTTTCAGGTAGGTTCCGCACCGGAGTGGGATTCAACCATAAAGTTTCCTCGCTTAGTTGTAGCACTGTATATACATTAAAGCACTGTTAGATCAGTCTAGAACTAAAAGGAGGAGCCCATGAATACTAATTCGGATATTACGCGGCCTAGTTCTTTTAGGCGACCTAACGTCTACGAGTTAATATGGATGAGGATGATAATCCTTTCCTGGTGACAGAGACAACCGCAGATTGCCGCGGGTATGGCCAGCTTAGGGCAGATTGCAGGGAGATAGCCGCTCTTCCTTGAATAGTATGTGTATTTCGGGCAACCAATCCAATTCCCTTCAATGTAGAACCTGGTCCAACATCCAACAAGTCTTCAAAGAATACAGCCTCATCGAAGACAGCCCAGTCAGCCATCAATATTGGTAAGACTCTCTCCAGTCTATCTTCCTACTCTGTACTTAGCCTCTCAAGGTTTCGTACCTCTGGTACAACTCTAACGATTCAAAAAGGCAATGTTACGACTCTTCCTTTGCCGGTTGTGGCGATCAAGCTGGCAATACAACGTGATGACGACTGAGAATGATGCCCGGAGGAAAATGGAGCTTGACTTTGAATCTTAAGCTGAGTGTTCGGTGTGATAGTGTTGATGTTCAAAGGCTTCTTTATCTCATTCTACGCGCTCAAGCTGGTGAGGCGTCGGTTATGGACGATGGTCCTTCTCTTATTGCTAATACAATGCTCTAAGAGCCTGGCAGGCACTTAATGCCACTATGTAGCCTTGTTTTGGAACATGGGGAGGATTTTGTATGCACTCTTGAAGTTGACCATGTCTCTAACCTCTTGCGTAGCTCCAGTGTACGTCTCCCAGGCATCGTTCATTCTCAGGACTCCCTGCAGAGGGGCATAGGGAGTGTCACTTCCGAAGAGGATATGGTCGTGTGGGATGAAATTGAGAAGGCAGTTCAGGGCATTGTCGTGCCCGGACAGCGCAAGGTCGAAGTAAAAGCTCTTGATCTCCGCTTCTATCTCTGCCTTGGTCTTCCGTGATCCCTCTGCACTGCTGAAAATTTCCATGAATCCGATGCGACCAACAATGTAAGGGAGAGTGCCACCGGCATGGGACAAGATGATTTTACAGTCTGGGTGGTCGCGTTTGGTGTTAGAGAAGAGCAGGTCCATCGCGCTACGGGTTGTCTCGTGCGGGAACTCCACGACATTGGGCACCAGCGTGGGCGGTAAACCGGCCGTGTTTCGTGGCATGGCGGGATGAAGGAGCACCACTGCTTTCCAAGTGTTCAATTCTTTCCAGACAGGCCGGAAAGCGTTGTTGCCAAGATAGGTGTTACCATCGCCATAGCTGCTGAATACCAGAACGCCCTCTGCACGAAGCTCGCCTAACGCGTAGCGGATCTCTTTGATGCAGCCTTCGCTATCGAACAGGGAAGGTAAAGTTGCAAGGAAGCCAAATTTCCCTGGATGCTGGTCTCGCAGGTTAGCGGCGTACTCATTGACGCGACGGGCCATGTCCCTTGCGGCCTCCCCTTCCAAGAACGAAACTCCCGGCATGGTGAGAGAAAATATGGTTGTGGTCGTGCCCAGACCCTTCATAGCTTCCTCTGATGTATTTACCGACCATGGAGGTGGCATCTCAGACGGGCTGAGACCAAGCTTCGAAACAACTAGACGATGAGCATTGGTCAAAATGTTGTGCTTGACTCGGGGCATAGGAGGTCTGTACCTTCCAGCCAAAAATCTGGCACGAAATGATGATGTACATCGATTTTATGCGACGAAGTGGTGGTGAATTTTGGTTTATAGTCCATAATGGCGTATCAGATTATAGACCACTGGCCCGGACACTCGCTATAGGTTATTTTTGAAGGCTGTCACTATTGTGAAAAGGGATGAAGACTCCCAGCAATGTTACTGGGGGCAAAAGTTGTTAAAAGAAATATCTAGCGATTGAGAAGCCGCACCGTTGGCCGGTCGATCCGAAAGACTGTTTGTTCAAGAGGTTCCAGGCTGACACGCAAATATCTGGAGTCCAGAAGGCAATGGATGTTAGGAGAGCGTTGATTATGCCTTTCCGGAGTTTTCGGGCCGGAAGAGTGGTAGTGGAGATGGGGGATTCCCGTATGCGCGAGGACGGGACTACCAACTTTTGGCCGGGCTCATCACAAATCATTGCGAGAAAATCGATGTTTCGAAACAACATAGCTTTCCAATTCTCTACAACTCCCTCTTCAGTATTATCTCCTTGGCGTTGAGCACCGCATCAAACCCGAAAAGCCACTCCTGAAAAGCAGGATTATTCCATCTATTCGCTGCGACCGCCTCTTCGTGAGACAACGTGCCGTCTGTTGGAAGGTCCTTCCCGTAGCGGATGATAGCATCCCGGGCTTCTTGAAAAGGCCCGTCCGCACAGTGCCAGACGGTGGCGTTCTGTCGAGCCCCGCTTTTGATGATACGCACTCGTTCTCGCCGCGTAGTCTCGTATAGCCGCAGCCTGTCTGGAGCGTCTTCCACTGTCTTGCATGATGACAGACACTCAACAAGGACGACACTGTCTTCGATGGCCATTGCGGCTCCCTATTGGGGGTAGTATGTCAGTTATGCTGATGCTTCGGAGGCAGAGGTTGAGTCATTCACGCACCTGGGCCAGGAAAGGCAGCATGGCGTGTGCTGAGTCTCCCACCAGTACTATCTTCCCACTCTCAGAGATCCATCGAGGTATTTCTTCTAGCTCTGAAGTCTTCCACTGTCGACAAGTCGAAACCTTTTCCAGTAATCGGTGAATTAAAGGATCCCAACCGTCAAAGATCGTTCGAATTTCCGCAGGAGGTGCTGTTTTTCTTCTTGTTAGTTGATGAAAACACGAGGCTAGATAAATAAACAGGATGGTCTTTGGTTCCATACCTTCCTTTGAGGTTTTGACGCCGTCCATGGCGCTCTCGTGAGTCAGGGCAAAATTATATAGTTCACCAAGACGGATTGGATATGACATGACATGTCCATTGGGGCCCAGTCAGCAGTTTGCAGAAGGAGACTCTATCAACGGGCGTAATATAGGGTCTTCACGCATCACTTGGCCCGGAACCAAGCATCGAAAAGTACTGCATATATCGGGCAGAAGCTGTGCTGGCCTCTCAGTAGAGGTAAAGACACCTTCTCTCACTTTTGAATTAATCCCTATCGACACCTCGTCAGCCAGAGATCGAAGTATAAAGTGGGAAAGAATGTGTGAAAAATACCATCAGCACCGACGAGTATATCTGCATTCAAGGTGCTTCCGTCGACAAGTTTGACAGATGGGTGATCTGCATTGACGGACTGCACAAAAGAATTTGCGAACACCTCAGCACCCACTTCTCGACAGCGGTTGAGCAAGCTCTGATGAAGGTCTGCCCTATACGTCAATAGGTAAGGATTGTTGTATTTCTCCTCCATGTCGGATCCCAAAGGCGTGCTTCCCAATAATTGTCCGTCCTAATTCGATAACAACGCGGTTTTCAGTCACTTGATAACTCGCTATGACGCTGATTGACACGCAGTTGGATTCACTCACCTTCCATCTTTTCATTGTAATGGAGAGTGGCCATGTAGCCTGTTCTGCTACATTTTCGAAGACGCCTAACTTCTTCAATGCCTTTACACAATTTGGTGGAACCTGAATGCCAACTCCAAATTCTCCAAATTGGGACGCTCCCTCGAGAACCGTGACTCGGTGGCCTGCCAATCGCAAACCGATGGCAGTACTCAATCCACTTAGTCCTGCACCGACAACAAGTACATGAAACACGATGCTTTTTTCACTGCTCCCATTCTCTTCGATCCCGGAGGGCAGACACTCATTCATGGTCGTCATCTTTGACTTTCATATACCCTAGGTCACAATCCGAGGTTTGTAGCGCAAGTAAAAGTGACCGAAAAACTGTCGTTCACCAAAATAATTTTAATTAGACTCGTCGGAGAAGTTGTTCAGAATTAATATCGAATGTTGCCGGTGCCACGTCGCCGTTCTCACTAATACACCGCGTGAGGTCCTATTTAGGAGTAGTCAGGTGTCACCGGAGGAAAGCCTCCGAAAGCAAAAATCTACCCACTTCTAATTTTGTAGAACCCGATCCGGTGCTCGAGCCTCGAGCACCTTCAGTAGGGATGTATTCTGCTCGAACGAAGGTCCATGCGATCATGGTGGTGACTCCTTCAAGGAAGAAAACTTGGGTACACGCTTACTTCAATGGAGCCAGAATTGTTCCAGTGACTGACCTGACCGTCACTAGAAGCAGTAAATTTGCCATTTCGGCCGGCTTTTACTCTGTAGCCACCAGCATGACATGGAGCATGCAAGACGATGATGAGTTACCACTACGATGAATTTAAATTCATTCATAATAGTTAAACCCCGGGCTTTTCAGTCCTAAACCAGGTCGATTTGACATGTAATAGATACATAAAAACTCTTTTCAACAAAGCTCACACAGCTGGATGGCTATCCTTGATAGCTTGCTTGAAACGAGTAAGTTTAGAGCGCAAAACCTGAATCGGGCACATCAAAGAAATATTCTTGATCAAATTGCATGAATTCGTCCATCTCCGTCATGGGAAATGTATCCCAGATCGTACCAAAATTGTTTGCAGCTGCGTCTCCTTGGTTCATCGAGCCGGCATATAATCCTGGCCTCTCATCTCGCAAGTGTCCTGTGGATGGGGATACGTACTGCGAGGAGTTTGGTTCTCCAGATGCCCCAGGATTGCTGTCCCTGTTTATGGGGTTACCTCGGGTTCCTGCTAAGTTCGGGTCACCGTTAAGTCCCTGAAGGGCTGACTTTAGTTTTAAATCTTCCAAAACTGCGTGCGCTAGGCTTCATACCTGGAGTTCGACATCCAGAACGGAGAGTTGAAGTTCTCGCAGAAATTCCTCGCTACGAATTGTTGCGATACCGCCTTTCGAGGTCATACTTCGGATCAGCCTGAATCCGGCCAAGATGCACTGCTGAGTACGATCATGATCTTGTGCTTCCACTCTGCAACCTTGTCGGTGGAGGGATAATAAAGCGATCAAGATGCACAAACAGTTAAATGTGTCTGAAATAGAGTTAGCTGAAGACCCTGGACTTCTAGTCCTCTGTCACCCCTTGGCAATTGAGGAAATTCGTACAATGAAAGTCCCACCACCATGCTCCTGTCAATCCTTGGGGTCGGAAAATCCGGATTGCCTCAATTTGGAGTCCAGCTGAGGAAAAACAGATATTTGCACTTGTTTGTGCCACAACCTTCTCGAATATAAATCGGTCATTTTGAGTAGGCTCAAGAGGTGCTGAGCGCTGTGTCGCTCGTGGCTCTTCGCAGGGGTCTGAATGTACCGGCAACCACTGAGGTGAACACTTACAAGTCTGCCCTTGACCAGCAGAAATCCGTAGGAGAAAGAGCACAGATTGGCGGTGTAAAAGAATCCGCATTCCAAGAAACCTTAGAGCTAGAATGCATCGCTGCCGTCTCAATCAGACAGGATACTCAGTCGGAGGTTGCTCTGCTTTATCTAATGAGAACTTCAACCATTCGGGAAGGGCAGAATGCCAGTCGAGTAAGTCCGCATCAAGGTCCAGAATGGCGATGAAGAGCGACCGATGGGTCGTGGGGTTTTCACTACTCCCAGCTGTAGTTTGAAGAGTGCGCAGAGACTCGAAGATCTTGTCCATCATGAAATAGAGTTTCACGCTGCAGAAGAAGAATGCGTAGATCGAAGGGGTCTCGCCTGTTCCTCGTGGTTCACTCAGGACGAACAATTTGTCTATCACTTTGAGGGAATCCACAACATGAGAATTCTGACGCGGGAATAAAATGCCTATCGGTCTTCCAGAAATCATACTAGAAACCCTGTGTCAATTGACGTTAGCATACATAATAAAAAATCCGTTGCAGTGAGCGCTCACCGATCAAGATTGTAGCAGCCCCACCACAGCAATTGATGAAGTTCCTGCTTCCGACGGATGTCGCCAGCTTGTGAGGATGAGCTTGGAGGAATATGAAGTCCCAGACTGAGAGCGATTCTGCTGGCATGTCCCACTGTTAACCAGCACTGGTTACCCCGGTTTGTGCCTTGTTGATACTGAATTGCCAGTAGTAATAGCTGAAGGAAACTGATGTCGCAAGTGCTGAAGGCGTTGGTGACGATATAACCCCATGCACGATAAAAGAATTGTTCACCTGTAGCCGTGATGTCCTTGACAGGTGACTCTCCATCGATATCATCATCGTGAAACAAACAAGCGAGCGCGAAGATCATATATAGCTGAGCTGTCCAGGATTCTTCCAAAGGCTTGTCAGATGTCCAAGTTTCTTCAAACTGTCGAGAGATCTTTTCTTCGACCAAATAAGGCTTGATGGGATGAACATGTGTCAGATACCTTGAGAACAAGTAGCGTGCAACGCGCTCTTGTGGCAACAGGTTCAAAGCATTTGATGTTAGATACATAGCGACGATGGATTTTTCATCCGCAAACCCACGCGCTTGTGGAAGATGGCGATGGAAAATCTCGGGCCTGCTCATCGTCGCTGGTCGGACTCGATCGGAATTTCCAGGGGACGTCATGACGACCTCCTGACCCCCAAGGCCTAATGCATGAATGGAAGTCTGCAAATGCCACGCAAACCTGAGCGACGACGACTCGGAGAAGGCCGGCGAGCCTACAGTTACCTGGGAAGGGACTTTTGCCCCGCATATTATCCCATCGCTCAAGAGACCGTCCTCTAGCTGGGTTGTGATACTGTCGGAAGGTGGCTTTTCTCTCTGAGTCACATTGTTGATAGTACTCTGATTTGCCTCTGCGTTGCAGGTTTCATGCGTGAGATCATTTGGATGGGCAATTTCTGTGTGATCCTGCAAGACTTTCGGTCCATTGATGGGAGTACTGCTGAGATCGTTCTCGCTAGGAGGAGCACTCAAGGTTTGCAAGGCATCTGGATATGTTCGTGCGTCAAGCTGCTGTCGCAGGCTTCGGACCTGGGCTTGTAGTGCATCGATATGGCTGAAGACCAAGTCAATATCTGCCACAAACACAGAGAATTTCCCATCCAGTGAGGGGGTGCAGCGCTCAAGCAGGGGAATCTCACGATTGAGTATAACGAGCACGTGAAATCGCCTTCGGATATGAACATTGCACCTTTCGATTGGCGCATGAAGTGCACTGGGGGCGTCGACCATCGCAGCGGACTTTCCACTGCCTACATCCTGAGCAGGCTCGATGCGTAGAGGATGCAGCCGTAGTTTCTGTGGCTGTCCTTAGCTCGTTCTGTGTTATGGGCAAACCGCTATCAAGGGCAGCACATCCACTTCTTTCGTCCGTAAATTGCATTTGGGATCAGCGCAACCTGTGGGCGGTGGTGTGTCCGGTACTGTACAAGGCGGCTCCGATGAAGATCTAGAATAAAGGTAGGGCAAAAGAAAATCTCTGCTCGGGGTCTAACCGCCGGCTTTTTACTCCAGACCCTCGCAATGATTTCCGAGGTTTGGGGGGTTCCCCGCGTTGTTCGCGCAGTCCCGGTCATTCACCACCGGGTCTCCACTATTTCTGAGTTCCACTAGTAGAGCCAGCGACCTCATCGACTTGAGCAACCACAGTTTGTAGGTCCGAAACCACCTCAAGTCTGGCATAGATTGTATTGTACGGCACTGATTTCCGGCAAGCTTTCAGCCGCTACAAGGCGCCCCAACCAGAACGCTAGAATCAGAGAGAGCGTATTCCAGATTGACGGCCCCATCAGGAAGTGAGAACCGAATATGGGCCCGACTGTTTTTCATAAATCACGGGTGGCGCCTAAGGCACTGAGATATCGCCAAATCCGGCATACAACTACGCAGTGTCAAGGCTCATCTCTGCCGGAGTTTCACGTTAAAACTTGCATTCCGCTTTACTACAACGTCCAGAACTGTCCTAAATACATGCTACGGCTTCATCCTTCCTGATTAATTAATCCCATCGAATCTCTTCTCGTCCGCTGGGGAAATATGGAACGACACAATTCCAGATCGTTGAATATACCTCCAGATCACGACCATGCTAGTTATGGCACGAGCGCTAAGACTGCGGATAATGATTTGTCAGATCCCGGCCATAGAGGTCTGTATGATGCACCCAAACGGCCACTGAATGTTATCATCGTGGGAGCCGGCATAGCGGGGTTAGCACTGGCCGGGCTTATGGGAAGATCAGGACACAAGGTTATTGTGATGGAAGCAGCACCCAACATCGCAGACGTAGGCGCGGGAATAACGTGCTCTCCGAACCTTACACGGCTACTCAGCCGATGGGGCCTTGATCCTTCCTTACGCAAGCACACGAACGTGCTCAGCCAGATCACTTTGAGGCGATGGGAAGACGGTCGCTTTCTGGGCGCAGCACCACTCATGCCTGGTGCGGAAGCGAAGCACGGCGCACCTCAATACGTACTCCATCGTGCGGACCTTCATCGCACACTGATGGAAGAGGCTGAAACCGTATGTGATATTCATACTAACAGCATGGTCACGTCACTCGATTTCCACAAGGCTTCTGCTACATTAAGCGATGGGAATGTTTTTGAGGCCGACTTGATAGTCGGCGCTGACGGTTAGTTCCGGCAGTGAGAGATTGAGGGTAATACTGATCTTATCAGGTATGAAATCAACATGTAGGAGGCTGATCTACCAAAGGCTTGGGCTTTTGGATAAAGCCATCCCGACAGGGGACGCCGCATTCAGGGTCTGTATTCCCCTGGACAGGGTGATGGATCCTGAACTTCGAGGCTTTGTGACCGCGCCAGTGGCGACGAGATGGATGGGTGATTCAAGGCACGTTCAAGCTTATCCTATTCGGCATGGAAACCTCTACAACATGGTCAGCAGCGCATTTCTCCCCAGGGGATCGGAGACCACTGACAACAGTTACAGGTTATGTGCCATCCTGACACGGGGTTCGCAGAAGAATCATGGACCGCCAAGGCATCTAAGCAGAAGATATTGGATCATTTCGGTTCATGGGACCCCCTCCGATTGGGAAAATTACTTGAGCTTATTCCGGATGATAATATTATGGAATGGCGTTTGTGTCAGCACGACCCACTCCCTACATGGGTAATTGGCAAGGTTGTCTTAATTGGCGATGCCTGTCATCCTATGTTGCCCTATGTTGCACAAGGAGCTGCTCAAGCAATCGAAGACGTCGCAGTGCTCCATCTGGCCGTCAATCGTGCTTCAAACCCAGAAGACTTGTCGGTCCTTTTAAAGGCCTATCAGCTGGCGCGGAAACCCCGGTCGGAGTATATTATGGGAGTTGGTGGCGTCACTGGAGCCGTGCTACATTTGCCAGATGGCCCGGAACAACAAGTAAGAGACGAAAAGTTTCGGTTGGTGCCGGAAGGAGGCGACAACCCAGACCTGCTAGGTGACGTCGAGATGCAAAAATTCCTTTGGGATTACGATCCGGAGAAGGAATTCCTCGAGAATATTGAAAGTAAGTCGTACTCATTTAAATCAAGTTGCGTATTGTCTAACAGAGAATAAAAGACTATACTAAGAAAGCTCGCTTCTCTCAAAATGAGTAAGATTCTTATGTAATGGACCGGGATAGCATGAGAATCTAGAAGTCCCACGATACTTCAGCGCCCAGAGTCAGATGAGTGGCCCAATTCAAATGTTAGGACTCGTAAATCATGGTTCAGTTGAGGAAACAATGGATATAAATAGGACAAGAGGAATAGTACGAGGGAGAACTAGCCTGATCGGCCCGCTCATCTTTTCCCAGAGTAGTCGACTCCCGAGTCTCGTCGTGCCTGGCGATCTGGCGACCCTGCGTCTCCTTAAAGACTTAGAAGAGACTTTAGACAAGTATCAAGAATTTGACCCTACACGCAGGATTGCTTGCAGCTATAATTCAAGACCTGAGATCGCCCCCAGACAGGAGCCCATGCGCTGTCAGAAACAGTCATGCGAATGGGCTCCCCGCTGTTGGGTTGACTCGGATGGCAAACATTACAAGATGAACGCGGTACACCTCAGGAGGCTCGGCGACCACGTCGCCATAGTAGCTCGATCACTGCAGCTCAGGTACCATTCTATAGGAAGAAAAATTTGTTTGACAATCAGGTACAATATATATTTTGCAGAAAACAGCGATGGATAGTATTACAGAATCTTTGCCCAAAACAACACTTGAAGGTTCGACTACCGCCAGCAAGGCGAGATCATTGCCTCACAAGACCCCTCCCCCGTGCTGTTACTATGCAATCACCTAATCACCCACGTAGCCTGGCAATCACGCGTTTCGGCAACGATTGTAGTCACATACTCTGCACAGACTCAGCCTCTACACAGCATGCCTCAGAGAGCTGGGGGGTTGGCTAACATTGGCACTGGCTCGACGAAAAGGCTGGCAGCATGTGGCCGCTCCGACCCCAAACCACCGACTTTGACCCAGCCTCCACATCGGTGAAGCGAGGTATCACAGTACTATCGTAACTTCAGCTAGCTAGACCTCCATATCAAAGCCCCAAAGAACTGAACTGAATCACATGATGGGCGGATACAACTTGCGAGTAGTCACTGGCAAGGCACAAATACCGAAGGCGTCCTTGCCATCTGACTTTCGGCCCCCAGCCTCTCCAAGGTCGTAACTGCTTGCAGTACGAGGGGAGATGAGTGGGCTATGAAGCTTGCATCCAACGATCATCTGTGATGGAGTTTCGAACAGGGTGTTTTATACGCGGACTAACACAATTGGTCTAGGACGATTGTGTATTCGAGACTTGTACAGTAGATGATAGGATATGATGACACTTTTCGTGCCACCTAGCAGCCCCTTGGGTTACTGGTTGTTAGGCAACTACAGCCAGTCATTGGCGCGGCCTTTGCCAGGCGCCTACTGTTTTCGGAATGGACCTGGATGAAATTGTCACAACACCGCCCATTCCCTCCAGTGGTTTCCTAATTATTGCTGCGTGGGGTCTTTTTGGAGGCTTGCCACATTTTGGCCGGTACGGAGTGGAAAGCTAACCATGGCAGACAACGCACATCACCAAAAAAAAACTCCAAGGCCTGCTCAACTGTTTGGCGACCACCCAAAAGAACGCATTATTCGAGCACGGACTTCGTGGCCATGTCAAGAACGGTTCGCAACGTTGATTGTCCATGTATTCACTGGGACCAATACTGATCCTGTGTTAGAATCATGAGAGCTTTGTTGTCGTCTCCATTTTCGAGTTCAAACAGTTTACCACCAGAATTCATGGGTTCCGTGAGGGTCGCTGTCGTATGCTTCAACGGTTTGGGGCGTCTCGCGCTGGCAGTGGAGGAACCTTGAATGTCGGATTTGCCAATTTTTGCGGAGAATAACGATAATCGTCCTCATCATCAGTTAAGGCGCACTCCGCAGTGGTCTGTTGCCATATCTTCTCGATAAATTCGGGCTCGATGGAGGAGAAGTTGCGGTCCTCGCAGCCTTGCTGAACTTTGAAGAAGGCAAAAGCTAGGGTAATTTGAAGCTGTCGAGCAATCTATGTCCGGTATGACTTAATAGAGCAAGATCTCCGAATAGTGGAAGGCAACCTCACAGTAGAAACTTTTTGTCGGTACAGAACCTTCTCGGCGGTATTGGCTATTATATCGGGATCATAATAAGTGTACCGAACAGTCGGAAGCCACCGATAACAGGCAGCCATTTGGTCTAGTTGCAGCCGCTCGACGTCTTCGGAGCTGACCTGCAGGTCGACCATGGTCGAATTTGGAGAGGCCGCCCTGAGTCACACGAAATTTTAGGGGCTGTAGATTGGAGGTTCGTCGTCAGTACTCAGCTAGTCCTTAGTTAGCCGTGACTTTTCGGAAATGGATCAGTCTATCGCAGCTGAAGCATGTTCAGATTTTTCACTCCAATGGGCACGGACACATTATTGATTCTCGGCCAGACAGAACTCTTACTGCAAAGCCAATATCTAGACAGTCATGACTTATCGTTGGCACTTCTCGTGGCCGGGCTTCTTTTCTTTTGCGGCATCTCCCTTGCTGACCATGATGGTGCTTCCCTTCTTGAAGTCCTCCAAGGGGGTGTGCAAGAGGGGCATGCTAGGATGGTGGGATTACTGGTCCAATGCTGGCCTCGCAGGACTTTTCGAAGACCAAGATCTGGAGCAGGACCAACACAGACAAATACTATTTCTGCAGGCAAACTCTGGGCGACAATGATTGGCAGTGCGCGTACCACCCCCCAAACAAGGGTCGCGCCCAGCCTTCAGCATTTCTGCTGCTCATTGCCCCTCGTTGATCTAGGTTTCAGCCTTATCAAATGGTACAGCCTTATCCGGTCTTCGAGGTCGAAGACGCAGTTTTGCAGGGGGGTTGATGTCACGGTTCAGTCTGGTTGGCAGTCACGTGGCCACGTGACTACGCGCGCACATACGCGCCTACTTATCAACGCCACCACGCGCCCAACCACTTAGCTAGTCCTTCGTACTATTATTCATATCATAAATTGCATTAACTGCTGTGCGCCGTGATAACTAGAGCGTGGAGCCGAGGATAAGGGAGTATACGTTCATGGAGAATATGTGATCATTGGACGAGTCGTGCGACTCGGCTGCCTGGTCGATATACTAGAAAACAGAGATGTGGTCTTGCGATTGCAGTCAGCAGGTGTTGGAGAGGGAGCTGCGAAGACTCGCGTTGTTCAAAAGGCGGATTTCGCAAGCCCGAAACCCACGTAACCGATTCAAGGGTTTTAGAGATAATCATGTTCGCATAGCCAGAACTTTGCAAATGAAGCTGAAATGCGCATAAGGGAAGAATCTTTGGTCAGGCTGAAGGTGGCTTGGATGCTAAAGGCTTGGCTAGCTGTTGCCAACGCAAGCTGGCAGTGGGCACTGCAGAAGCCGAACTCGAGGGCGCGGGGTTGGCACAGTACCATGGTCCGGGTATTGGCAGAGCGCTTTCCCAGTGGGGAGCTTAGCAACTGGGCCGTATACCAGACGCTACTCCCTCACACGTGGGCGGGCACTGCGTCACGTAGGAGGGGGTTACACTCACTACTGACAGTCGCGGGTATCTCCAGTGTCTCTCCGGCAGCCAAGATTGTTCCAGGTGCTTAGTCAGCGAATTTTTGTGTAATGCATCAGAAAAATCACAACCTGTATTCCAGAAAAACTATAGGTAAACCTTCTATTTGGACATGGACCTATAGTTAGAACGCCTAGGGACATCAAGTAGTCAACTTACATATATCACCTATATTCTCTTCAAAATATGGTTTTCTGAATGCTAAGGCCTGCTAGCACAATTTGGCTGCGGGGGAGATAGTCAACGTGCCGTTTCAGGCTACGATAGGGTCCTTAGGGCACATCATCCCACTACGGCTGCATGTAGAGAACATATATCGTCACTGTTGTGGAAGATGGGGCGGCATCCCCTGGGTTCTACTTCTCAGCCTGCCAATGCAAGACTTTACAGCCGACGGCAGGACCAGTATGCACATCAGAAAGTCAGTAGCCGAATTTTTATTGCCTCTCTTTAGTTGCTTGTACTGTACCTGCCTTTGTGCGCAAAAGGGCTACGCATCCTCCTGATTTATTACCGAAGTCTTGACGAACAGCTGTACGGTATGGGCAATACCGTGATGAAGTTCGCTTGTCGGTGATTCGTAGTTGAGGGTTGGGCCATTATTGTAGATCTGGGTAAGCGTGACCCACTGGTATCCTTGGCTCCGAGTTGGAAAGTTGCAATGTGTCCTCCAGGGTAGGCAGGTTTCGAGAAGATCTGTAAGATCTGGGGAACAACATTCTGAATTCTGAAATAAAATGCCAAAAGGTGCTGAGATGCGACACATGCTCTGAGATTTTGGCGTAGGAGCAAGGCGTAGGAGCAAGGCGCAGCAGCAATACGAACTTCAGGCAGCAACAATTGAGGGGCAGAGGAAAATTTTCAGCCGCACTAACCCCAATCTATCGCGTGGCCTTCTTGCTTTGATATGAATGAAGTCTGCTTGATGACGGCTCTTCCCATTGCTTGAGTGACCAGAACATCGTCGATTGGAGGCAGAAGCGAACTGTTTGTCGAGCTCCATCGACAGCGCCTAAGCCACAAACTCGCTGAACGCTCGAACAGATACATGACGTCGATGAGCCCACGGCGTGGAGCACGCCCATCTCCGCCACCAGCAACACTTCTGGTCGTGCGGCTATATCTTTGTGAAGATGACTCATGCGCCTCAGCCGGTACTCGTCACCTCCTAGTCCGCTATGACAATGTTCAAGTCGTGGCAGGCCAGGCGGCGGCAATTTCATATACCTGGGGGGAGTTCAACCGACAAACTAGGAGGCTAGGACACGACAGCGCCGGTCGAGATGTCGCAATGAACTTGGGAGAAGAATGGGCAATCGCAGAAGTGATCGAAACGCTTGCTCAGCTGTCAACCGAATTTGGAGCCTGTTGGATTGATCAACTCTGCATGCGACAGGATGATACCAATATCAAGCAGATCATCCAAATGATCCCGGAGATATATCGCACATTCCAAGTGGTCGCGCTTATGCCAGTTCCACCCTGTAGTTGCCTAGAGCCGGCCGCGAAGGATTTGATGGTCTCATTCCAACAGTTCGCCACAGGAGAGAAGACAAGCCATGAGTCGCTGGGTTGTCACCACGACAGATTGTATCAACTGTTTTGGTATCAATTCGTGGTTTGACCGCATCTGGACGCGCCAGGAAATGATGTACAGCAGAGAGATATCTGTAGTTAGAACGAGAAACACGCCGGAAAGCTGCGTGAAAGGTTTCGACCACATCCTGCACCTGAATCGCTTTGCAAAGCTATATTTCGACCGAAGACTCCAGCAGGGTTTCAATCGAGAAAACGCTTTTCAAGATCTCAAATCTGCAAGTACCTATTTTCGAAGAAATGGTTTGAAATCTGTCGAACACTACTGCTGCTATGACAATCACGCCCATTACGCTGGCGCCGACGCGACCATTCTTCACGCGAAATTCATGATGGGCGAAGTCATCACGACACACCAACCACATCCCGCAGACTTAGACGACCAGAGTCGACTGACAAGCTTTGTTCATCAGTTAAGCCAGCTGGCGACATCGACAAGAAAGGCGAGTCAACTAAGAGACTACATCACCTCCGTATGGGTCGATTGTCCTGGCTACAAAATCCCTACTCACTTTCAAACTCGAGATGTTGCCTCGCTCCTGGAGGATGATATCCTACAAAAGGAGAAAAACACCTCAACATCTCTTGCTGTGAGTTTTCCTGCGTCCCTATTTGGCGATATCGAGAGTGGGGCGTTCCGGCGGCCAACAAAATATCTGGGCGAGTTAGAGATCAACTCTGTCAGGGATATATATGCGGTGCTTCCTGCACTCAGCGAACCTATTCCTGTCTCAAACACCGGCTCATTACCAGTTCATTCCATGGGCCTCAACAACATGTCGATTTCTTCTCGCGCAAATTCATACCGTAGGACATTTGTGAATCTTGACACCGGACAAGTATTCGCCTGTTTGAAACAAATTGTGAACCATTGGCCCGAAAACACGCTCCACAAGGTGTCGCAATGGCAATTGCTTGAACAAAATCCAGCGCTGGCCATTACGCCTCCAAACAACAGCTTACTTGAAAGAGTATTCGAGAGGTGGGTACTGAGCAAGGCCATACCACTCTTGGGGAACCAGGTCCTGGCCTAGCGTGGGGAAATCTGCCTGAAGTTGATCACTATACCATATTCTACGGCATGGTAACCCGCGCGTTGGGCATAGACATGACTATCTGTCGCGCAATGGGACTTGATTTGATGGTTTCCCTGGAGCAGCCACCTTGCGTTGGACTGATGAAGCCCGAAGTCTGTCAAAAGCTAGCTGTTCAGATTTCAACGAACGCACAAGAGCCGAAAGAGGTACGAATCCGACAATTTGTATTGTGAAAGGTCACCGAACCACAGGCCTCCTTCTTGTCGAATGCTCGTTCTTGCACAGGTTGTCGTCCCTTGACGTCCTCGATATTGCCGGCATTTGGGTTCCCATCAGCTGTACACCACTGCATGATATTCAAGGCTACGTTCGTCCTTTCGCAACTGATGGAAGGATAGGGGGCGAAACCATATTTACTGATTCGAGAGAATGCCCGGAGAACGATACTGATGCGATCATGGACTTTGTTCAAAGGGCCGCTGCTAGCCCTGTGCGCCAACCGGGTGACGAACATGTTTCCCGAAAATGGCTCGGCCTCTACTACTCGCTGGCACTTGTGGGCCTATCGGTACTTTTTCTCTCGTTTTACTTCATTGTAACATCCCAGATAGCTCACACCAGCATGGTCTCGAATGTCTGCTTTGTTCCTAAGGAATATTGGCATGTTGAAAAGCGTCCTGCTTGGTACGCTGGCCCGGACTTTTATTATCAGCGTTGAGTCTGACGTTGACGCTGGCGGGCGTCGCAGTCCTCTGCGGACTGCTGCCTATTGGGGTCATGTGGAGATAGCTACCATATTACTACAGGCTGGTGCGGACCCTAACTTTTCCAACGCTGCAAGCCCCTAGGTCCCCCTAGTCCAAGCCATGTCCATCAGACGCAATCGGAGAGACATGGTTCTGTTAGCATGGGGCGAAGCCTTCCTACAGCGGCCATTCCGATAAGTCTCCGCTGACTGCTGCTATGAAGGAGATATAGACCAAGGAGTTGAGAGCGGTATGACGCAATTCTTTGATCAACGAGGCCAGGAGATT